GCCCAGCGATCAAGTCCAGCCAGGTTTCTAGTGGGCAGAACAAAGGACGTTCGGGAGGCGATAACGCTGCTAGCGCACGGATCGCATCTTGTCGTACCTTGATGTGGACGGGATCCAGCAGAACCTAGCCACCACCAACACCAACCAGCTTGCCCAGCCATCTCAACTTCCTTCAAAGAACGTCCGCTCCTGTGCTCCTGTATTCACCTTCCTATTCGACAATACTGCGCCGCCTGCAATCATGTGGGTTACACGAGGCCTCCACTGCAGACCTTGTTTATCCGGGTTGCCGGTTGCTTGGTGCCTCTTGGCGGCGACGCAGCGTGCCTTGGGAGGCTTGACACCTGCTCAATGCGGCAATTAGAAGGCGCATATCAATTAGACCGATATGTACGATGGAAAGCAGATAAAAAGGACCATTGCCTTGCTAGAGCACGACAAGTGCTTTGTTGCATTCGTCTCGTGTTTCTACCTGACGCGTCGTTTGGGTCACTGAGTGGGGAACGTTGATACCCTGCTGCCCGCAATGCGTTCTTTCGCAATCCTCGCTGCGGCATTGCCGTTGGTTCACGCAATTGAACCTCCGCGCATGCCACACCAGCCTCTCGGCAATGGCACCAAGCGTCTGAGCTACAACGAAACCACTGACAGCCCTGGATCTTTGACACCTTCAACACGATCCTTCACCTGGGTTGGCACTGGGGAAGATGGCGACTACATCTACACAGCTGCCTCTGGCGACTTTGTCTTTGAGAATGTCGCAACAGGCGAATCGTCCACTTTCATCTCCGCTGACCAGGTCCCGGAGGACTACTGGGATTACTTTATCTCGCCTGATGCCACCAAGGTCATGTGGGCCGTCAACTACACGAAGCAGTACCGCCACTCTTACTTCGCTGATTACTTGATCATGGACGTTGCAACTGGAGAGTCCGTGCCTCTTGATCCAGAGCAAGTCGGGGATATTCAGTATGCCGAATGGAGCCCTGCCTCGTCGTCTCAGGTCGCATTCGTCAAGGGCAACAACCTGTACATGTCCACCAACGGCACTATCACTCAGATCACCGAGGATGGAGGGCCCGACTACTTCAACGCTATTCCTGACTGGGTTTACGAAGAGGAAATCTTCGGCGATCGCTACACTCTATGGTTCTCGCCCGATGGCGCTAAGGTTGCTTTCCTTAGCTTCAACGAGACTGGTGTTGGCACATTCAGAATCCCATACTACATCGACGATGATGCTGAATATGTTCCTGTTTACCCCAATGAGTTGGAGCTTCGCTACCCCAAGGTCGGCACAAAGAACCCAACTGTGGTCATGAACATGCTTGATGTAGAGTCTGGCGAATACACCAACATTCCCATTGATGCTTTCCCGGAGGACGACCTTGTCATTGGCGAGGTTGTCTGGCTTACCGAGGAGCACAGCAAGGTCCTTTACCGCGCCTACAACCGTGTCCAGGATATGGAGAAGCTCGTTGTTGTCGATGTAGAGGCTGGGTCGTCCAAGGTTACTCGTGAGCGTGACGGTACCGATGGATGGCTGGAGAACTTGATGCAAGTTCGATACATCGGAGCTGTTGAGACTGCGAACGCTTCTTACGGAAACGCTACTGAATACTACATGGATCTCTCTGATATGAGTGGCTGGGCGCATATCTACCTCTTCCCCGTCGATGGCGGGGAGCCTATCGCACTCACATCCGGTGAGTGGGAAGTTATCAGCGTACCCAAGGTTGACTACTCCCGTGGCCTTGTCTACTACACCTCTACCGAGCACCACAGTGCTGAGTCCCATATCTACTCTGTCAGCTTCTCTGGCGAGAAGACTGCGCTCGTCGATGACAGCGTGACTGCTTTCTGGACTGGATCTTTCTCTTCCGGCGGCTCATACTATGTCCTCCGTTACGCTGGCCCCGACGTGCCATACCAGGAGCTGTACTCTATCAACTCCAGTGAGCCAATTCGCACAATCGTCAACAACACAGCACTTTACGAGAAGCTTCAAGGCTATGCTCTCCCCAACATTACTTACCTAGATATGGAACACCCAGACGGCTACACTTTGGACGCCATGCTCCGCCTGCCACCCAACTTTGACCCCTCCAAGAAGTACCCTCTCCTCCTCATTCCTTACGGTGGCCCCAACGCAAAAGAGGTTCACAAGGACTTCAACCCACTCAACTGGAAGGCTTACGTTGCCTCTGACCCTGAGCTCGAATACGTGACCCTTACCGTCGACGGCCGTGGTACTGGTCGTAAAGGTCGCGCTTTCCGTTCTCTCGTCACTTCTAATCTGGGTCAACTTGAGGCCGAAGACCAGATCTGGGCTGCCAAGGAGCTTGCAAAGAACGAGTGGATCGACAGCGAGCATATTGGTATCTGGGGTTGGTCTTACGGTGGCTACCTCTCCTCCAAGGTTGTTGAGGTCGGCGACCCAATCATCAGCTACGCCATGATTACAGCCCCTGTCAGCGACTGGCGCTTCTACGACTCCCTATACACTGAACGCTACATGAAGACACCCGACATCAACCCCGATGGTTACAACCGCAGCCGTGTTCATGATGCCACAGGTTTCAAGAACATTGCTGGTGGTGTCGTCATTCAGCACGGTACTGGTGATGACAACGTGCACTTCCAGAACTCGGCTGCGTTGGTCGACCTGCTCATGGTCAACCAGGTCACTCCTGAGAAGATGCAGAACACTTTCTTTACCGACAGCGATCACAGCATCAACTTCCACAACAACGGAAAGTTCCTGTACAGACAGTTGAGCAAGAAGCTGTATGAGGAGAAGGCACGCGAGGGCGACAGCAAGGGTGGTCACCAGTGGAGCAAGAGGGGTCTGGGACGCAAATGGAAAGCTTGAACAGCTCTAAAATAGTTGTACATGATAATGCGACAATGTAATGCATAATTCAAAGTTTCACCTGATCTCAGTGCACAGTCACCAGCCACCCGGCCTCTCTCTCAAGCTAATGCTGATGCATAACGGACATCCTCCGATTCTCTCGGTCCTATTCACACAATCAGACTCCTTGTATTTACTCCCATCCTTAGCATTATTCTCTTTGTCGATAAGACTGTGATTTTTCTTTAGTGCGCCGCCGAAACCTGCAGGACCGCTTGCGCTTTGCGCAGTTTTACAAAGTACAGAAGGAATCTTGGGAAAAACAAGCGCTCAATCCACTATGTAGTCGCCGCATGTTTTGATAGATGGTTGAAGCAACGGCTATTGTCGAAGGATATGTATGGCCCGGTGCAGCTGTTGACAGGGTATTGAAAGATCTAGAGTCGTATGCAGATTCACTCGAAATTACATTGGGGCAGGCTGAGCGGTGACAATACGCGTGAACGGCCACGGGCCCTGGCAAACAACTAGACGATTGCGTGACCTAACATCCGTCTGCATTCTGGTACATTCACCTATGTACTCTTAATCCAACACGACATTTGAACACCCAGCCAGATCTATTCCAAGCTGAGAACCTCCAAGACATACTCCAAGATGGCGGTCGATATCACCGGTACCACGATGCAGTGTCTAGACGCGCCAGACTACCATTCACTCAAATTCGAACACATGAGCAGGATATCTAGTCTTGCGGAAGGAAATGTTTACGCGCTCAGATACTTTCCCGATGAGCTACAAGCTCTCTTGAACATTGCCTCGCTCAAATTTCACGAATGGGCTCCTGGTCACTTTGCTTCAGTTTTAGGGTGGCCAAAGGAACCCAAACAAAGCTCGAAACCCCAATCGGCGGCGCTATTGGAACACCTGGAAATCCACTGGGGAGAGGGTGATAGAACTGTTTTGTTAAACGATAGCTCTGCCCTTTCCGATACAGGTATTCGACCGCAAACCATAATCTCTGATACCGACGAAGTATTGTCGAGACTGCAGCGTGGTTTTGAATTCGCACCTCCATTCTCTACTATCCTTACAGTGGTAGACCACGAGCACCTGACAATGCTAAGTGTCTTTTTCCGCTACTGTCTCTTGGTGCAAGGCCATGCTACGGCGACGGAGAATTTCCAGTACAACTTTTGGTTATGGTTCGAGAAACTCTGTCGCCATGTCGCCAGCCAAAGTACACCGGATAGCCCGCCAGAACACGTTGATGTCGCTGCATCGTCAAAGGCTGAGAAGAAGCCGGATAGTTCTTGCAGCCAAGTTGAATCGGATGAACGAGCACATGAAAACAAGACTACAGTTTTGGAGATTGACGAGACAGAGGAAGTTGCAAGCAACCATCGTTTCCATGGAGAACTGGAAACGATGCGGAAGGAAGTTGAGAACTACAAGTTGGCTTGTGAAGAGCAAAGCAAAAAGGTCGAAGAGGAGAAGTCGTGGTTGCACAAATTACGGCTCGCGCATGTGAACTCCGAAGCTATGTTTAGAGAACGTCAGAAAGAGGCAGAGGAGTGAAGGTTAGGCAATAAGTGTTAGTGAAAGAGTCACCAAAAAACCTATGATAGTATTCTATCCATTGCCGGTGTCACATGGTGGAAGACTGAGGGATATGAAGAGGACAGTTTTGTAGAATTAGAAGCCTAGGAACCATGAGAGTTGAAAGTCTCTAGAAGCTAAGAGGATTGTTCAACCGTTCTAGTTCATTGTTGATGTGAGGATGAAATTAGATCTTCTTTAGGTCCTGGTTGTTGATTATGGAATAGTAACGCTGAATTGACAATAAAGCTCGATCCAGAATCGCCCATGTATCGGATCATGAGAGCCGGCAGTACTTCTCTGCCTAAGTAAGAAGAATATCACAATAGTTCGTTTACGAGTTGCCTCCCGAGGCGAACAGAAAGAGATCCAGGTTAGAGAGGCTAGAAGATGAGCGTCGTTGCATAGCAGTATAGCTGGATGAGGTCCTATGCAGCGCCGGAAAAGAACACTAGGGCAAACCCAGACCTGTCAAGTAGAATGACAGGGCATCTGGTTGCATTCGAAGGGTTGGAAGGGCTCTCTATCATAGAGACATCGATATGTGTTACTTTTGTAGAATCTCGTCCAGGAGTTCAACGAACTTGACGGCCATTTTCTTTCCGCCCGATTCGTTTGGCTCAACTCTGGCTGTATAATCACTAACGCTCTTGCCATCAAGAACCTCATGTAGTGCGCAGGGTACTACCTCCGTACCATCGACTCGGACTTCTTTTGTCGCAATCTTGTACATCGCTCGAATGGCTGCTTGCAGTTGACCAGGGTATGAGTTGTATCCTCTATATGTGGGTGTACGATGTCAGTGTATGTCTCATGCATATTTCGCACAGAGATACATACAGTGCCTTAAGTTGCGCATCAGCCCAACTAGTTTGTCCCAAGCCCGACTCGAGTGGGAAGTATATCATACAGACGATGACGGCACGAGGTTTCGTTTTAGCGGTAAGACGGGTGACGTAGTTCTCGACCTTTGTGCCGAACATATGCTTGAAATATTTCAATGCCCCTGCAGTACCATTCTCTAAATTCTTGCGAGGGGTCAGCCAGGCGAGCTGCAGCATGTGGCGGATCGTGGAGGAATTTGGCTTCAAGGCGACATCGTTTGCACCAACACTGACAATTAACACATCGTTGGACCGGATATTGTCGCGAATGAACTCATCATGCGGCATCAGCATCTCGTCTCGATCTCGAAGCATCGACTCTTCCACTGCAGTGTTGATGCATGTAGCACGATCCTCCAGCAGATTGTTGAGCCAAAACGCAACATCTGGCTTTGGGACAACAGGGCTCTTGAACGCCTTGGAATAGATATCTGGTAGCCGAGACGGGACTATAGGACTTCTTTTATCAACCCAGTACTTATTATCGAGAGATGAATCGCCAGCCAAGTATATGATTGGCTTCCCGGGCCGTTCTGTGAGTGTGATGGTACGAAAGGTAGCCAGATCGTCGATAGGGTGACCTTTCCATTCGAAGTAGAAGCGCGAGCAATTCATCATCGGGATCGTAGGTGAGGTTGAGGACGCCATATTCGATCACTCGAAATAGCTGTTTGACGGGGTGATGCGTCGCTGTACAACGACACGCAACGTTGACACGATCAAGTGATATTGTACGCGCAACAAGTGAGAATCTGGGACTCTAAAGGGGTAGTCATCGGCGCTGTGTTGTACGGGGCGAGAAGACACATCGTTGCTGTGCGCTTACGAACGATGATGTGCTAGGCAGCTGCGTTGGAGATGCGTAGTCACGCACGGACCTCTGCAACAATGACATCACAATTAGAAGATAATCTAATCCCCAATGGCGAAGATGAGGTGTGAAATGAAATTGGCATGCTAACAATCCATGAGATTAGTCCTAAGGGACGAAGCCAGAAAGAGCTCGCTCATCCAGTCCGTCTGCCCCAATCGGCCAGAAGCTGCTCCTGCATAGCGAATTGCACGTTCTTGGCCTCGAGCTCATCAGCCAATATGCGATGCTCGGGATCTAAGCACTTCCTTTTATCTTGAATCTGTGCTTCTAGAACGTCTATATCTGCACGATACTGCTTGGAGACCTTTTCCAACTTTACAACAAGTTTGCTCTTCTCGGCATGATCCGCCTCGACGTCGTGCATGCTAGCTACAAGTTGTTTGACAGATTCTTTAGGGCCGTGGATATCGAGAGACGATGTCGCAGAGATTGCACTTTGAACGCGTTGCAGCAACGAATAGTTGCGCTTATCGGTAGGTTGGATATTGATTGTCAGGGCGACATTGGGGAGGGGTGTAACCTGCAGCTTTGTGGAAGATTGGACCACTCCGTTGAGAGATGGTACAGTGCTGAGACTCATGATCGACTTACCGAGATCCTCAAGCCCAGCTAGCAAGGCAGGGTTGTTTAATGGGTTGGTCGTAGGGACAGACATACGCGGCGTTGTCGACACGGTTTGCAGATCAGAAAATTTCAGCGAAGGCTTCATTGATGAAGCTAATTCAGGCTCCGATGCCAAGCAAAAGACTGTTGAGAGCCCGAGCGCAGCTGATGCTGGATAAACCGGAGTACACCGCTCAGGCGGAACGTTGCGATCTGAACTGAGAACTTCGATTTCCAGCTCGGCGGCGCGCAAACGGTGTATGTATTCCGCAATCTCGACTTCGTTGTCTTCGGGAGCGATAGGAACAGTGTCAAGATATGTGATCGCGGAAAAGCCCAAAGGTTGGTTTGAGTAATGATTGGCGTCGGCTTCTTTGATCATGCCAGAAGTGAAGTGCTCTTTGGCGAGAGGCTCTTTGGCATTTCCTTGAAGCTGCTCAACTTTAGCGCCGTAGCTGTCCGTCTGGTGTATCAGTGCCTTGATACTTTCCACATCATTAACATTATCCTCTATCAGGTCAGCATTAGCTTTTGCGAGATGGCGAAGACCTTCTGTTTCTGCCTCGGCGGCAGCCTGCAGTCCTTTCGCATCTTCAAGTTGGTGGAAGATGAAATTCCTGTACTCTTCACAGCCATCCTCATGGTATATATTCTGGAGGCGAGCGTTCTCCTTCTGGAGGTACTTGATGGTGTCCTGGAGGTGGGAGACAGGGCTAGGTTGATAAGGGTTTGCATCATGAGTACTGGGCTTACATGCAACTGAGCTAGTAGGACGATAGGCAGTAGCTCGTGTGGCCCCAATCTTGGCCTGCTCAACGTGAAGGTGACGTTTCTTGTCGGGAATGCAAGCTTGTAGATTCTTGATTACAGACTGCTTTGCGTCAAGTTCGGAGCGTAACTCTGTGATAGTCCTATTGGCGTCTTGCTGAATTTTGGCTCGCTTCTTCCTTTTCTGATCCAACTTTGACTCGATGTCGCAAACCTGGCGTTCAGTATCTTTCCGCAATGTTACCATGTCCTCATTGAGGGCGCCAAGGTTTCGGCTCTCTTTGCTCAACTTACCGGCAAAAGTACGCGCCTCATGCTTCTCCTTGGCGAGGTCACTCTTACAAGCTTTCAGTTCTCGAGATGCCTCATCGCATTGCCATATTAGACTGGTTTCTGTCGCTTGAAGCTTTTCGATCTGTCTCCTCAACTCGGCAATCTCCAAGTCCTGCGCCGAATTAATGCTATCATGACGGGATATCGTGGCTATGTTCTGCTCAGAGTCTATGAGAGTGGAAGGAGAGATTGGCGGAGACGAGACTTGGCGAGACATAGCTTTTCGCTACCCGTATCGCCGCGAAGAGATGCGTCAGTGTGTACTTGAGAACCTAGATGAGAATAGAGAGGGTATTGTACTCTTCTGTTTGATGCATCTCGCATTATGAAGATTGTCAAACACGTGCGTCGATTCATTGTCAGTCGTGTGTAGTGCAGTGCATTGTGAATGCTCAGATTCTAGGGACTTGACTTTGTAGTATACGGTGTATGCGTGGTACTGCGCTGCGCTGTACCTGCCGATACTCCGGCCTATCCTTGGCCGCGTCACGTCGCAGGCTGTAAAAATGAAACCGCGCACCGCCACATATGTTTGACGAAGCGGCCCAAACACCGGTTGAAGGACTTTGGCGTTGAAACAAGGGCCCAACGCGTCCGAAAATAAAGCTGTCAAGTTACAGAATATTTTAGAGGGAAGACAGGCACAAGTTGAATGAATCGTGGGGTGACAAGGCCAGGACAAAGACGAGAAGATGCGAGAAGGTTGTGCAACGCGTCGCATCACTACTGGCGCTAAGGGCTGGGATGACGGCGATTGACCAATGAGCAACAACACAGGTGGCATCCTGATCATGCGCCACTGGGCGGTGACGTCGGTTTCAGGGAAATCAAGAAGGGCGAGGGTCGTGGCAGCATCATCGCTCGCAGGCTGTGCGAAGGCATAAAGAACCAGGCTGCTGCCGTTTTGCAGCCTTCCCCAAGTTGCTCTACACAAACCTCCGCCTACAGCAACAGCCCAAATTCGACTTTCGGTAGCGAAGACCATCTGCAGCCACATTCCATCGTACCCGCCCGTAGTCCCCTGCAGCCATCCATCGCGTAGCCGTAGCGCCTCCATCACATCAACATGGTCGCTCCCGCCCTTGTACTAGGCCTGCGTGGCGTACAGGTCGTCTTCAGCATCATCGTCCTGGGTCTTACAGCCTACAGTATGTTGCATGCAGACCATCGCTGAATATGTCATTGCTAACACATCTGCAGTTGTCGATGCCTACATTGACTGGGTCCCGGCGAGCGTCGCCTTCATGCTCTTCACCTCCATCTGGACCCTCCTTGCTGTTGCATACCTCGTCCTTGCGCCAGCTCGCTTCCCTGTTGCAGCCCACAAGTTTGCCATCGGAGGTGTCGAGTTCCTGACCATGATCTTCTGGTTCGCGGCTTTTGTTGCCGTAGCCTCTCGGTGGGGCAACGCGTGGTGGGTCGGCCGTCACGGCACCTTCTACAGCTGCGGTGTTGCTGCTATCGTTTTCTCAGCCTTCAACTGGTATGTATACCGAATTTCTTCTACCCCCGAGCAATGTACTGACATATGACAGGCTTGCTTTCGTAGCTACCACTGTTCTTGCCGCGCTGCACATCCGCAGCTCACCCAGGAATGACACCGCTCCTGCGCCCAACATGGCTGGCGTCTAAACAACCATCAACTGCTGCGCATGACGCCACAAACGAGGCATTGACCTTATACCCAATGATACCCAAATATTTCCTACTCTTATGCCTCCGATCAGAATGTAATGTCCAGCGCGACGTTTGTGTTTTGCGCGGTGCGTCCAGCTCCTGACACCACTACTCATATGATTCGAGCTCTTAAAGCATTTCGCATAATGAAAATTGTTTTCTGATGACTTCGTTGCAGATTCCAACTGAAATTTTCGTGATGGTCGCGGCGACAGATCTAGGGCAGCTACGATAGACGTTCGCCATACTGTGGCTAGCGACACCGGCGACCAGCGTTTGGAATCATCGACTCTTGCTGTACTCTTTCCGCAGAAACCCATGCGTCTTTCGCTGCCTCTCCTCACTGACCCTCGGGGTACGGTACAGCGATGCGCTACCTGATGCGAGTCATTGTGCCCTGCTGCGTGCCTCCATACGAATCACGAACGAAGCCAGCGCTTGATAGTAGTTGCCTTGGCCGAGTTCACACTCACGACTGCCGTTTCATTGACTTCCAGAAGGCTTCAACTCAGGTCTGCAAAACACTTCACAATGAACACTCTCTCGAAGGAACCGAGTATGCCTTGTTGAATTGCCAAATTCTGAGTACCGCTTAGCCGGGTTGCGATACGCCCGACACTTTCATAATGTTGGATCTTGATGAAGCGCCCACCACAACATCATGATTGCCCTGCATTGGGGGCTAACTTATCCCGGCAAGGTCTCGGTAGCCTGGTCACTCTATCTGCGTCGCTTACATTTTCGGAGCAATCCTACGCCTCCCGTTGACGGAATGTGTACACACGGACCTTGGTACCACAAGCTCTGAAGCTACGGGCTTGGTCTTGTTGGGTGTGGGCTTATACGATTTTGATTGCCATGCTGACGTTCCAACGCGCCTCCCAAACATGATGGTCTCGCATGAAACCCCACCTGTCGCTTCGGCACGTACATTACAAGTCTTTGCCGTTCTCAAGCTATCGTTTACCGCTACTCGCAGTCCCGCCTAGTGCGGGCACGTCTGGGTTATCATGCGCCGACACCTTTTCGTTCTCACCATGACACTGAATATAACCTTCACGTCCCGTCCTCGTAGTCGGCTCAGGGCGAAGTCTGACACACTGATTGTCTTACTATCCATCGATCCAGAGTCAGGCCCGAAAATCGTTCGAGTATGGCGATATTGCCTCTCAATTCACCATTCGAGATCCACGGTGTCGGGTCAATGTATCCTGGCCGTGCCGACCAGCAGGTACGAGTAGACGCTGTCTAGCTCGACGTGCTACTGCGACTCCAAGGTGCAACATGAGGACAGGTCACGTACCAAGAAACAGGTTAAACACAGGCTCAAAGATGCGCTCGCGAGCAGCAAGGCGTTTGTTCGGGCTGTTCTGAGCCCTGTTCGGTAGGAATGCAACCCGGTAATTGGAGGGAGCAAGCCCTATTTAGCCGGCTGCCAAGATATGCAGCCAACGCGCCGTGACGCTTACCCAATATAAGATGCTGGTTCGGTAATACGGTCGCCTTCTCCGCCTTAGCCTACCTAGGCTACGGAGTATCTGGGGTAAAGAGCCGGGGTAGTGGATAGTCCTTTGGCCATGCCGAATTATAAAGGGTATACCCCCAGCCTGCCCGGCCTCAAGCAGCCTTCAGCGCTTCAACACCGGCATCATGGGTCTCATCAAAGCTCAGGATGGTACTTCCGACCCCATCATCACCCGCATGGTGGAGCAGGACAAGGTGCGATGGTGGAAGAAACCGAATCTGCGCATCATGTACATCTGGCTCTTCTGCTGCTGCATGGGCGTCGAGATCACCTCCGGCTTTGATTCTCAGCTTATTGGCACGCTCCAGTTTTCGGTCCCTTTCAACACATGTAAGCTACGAACGTGGTGGCACCTAGCTCAATGGACCTGACAGTCGCAGATTTTGGAGATGGCTACAAGGACGCAGATGGCGAAGCCAGCATCGAACCCAAGATTATTGGTTTCATGTCATCATGTTACCAGCTCGGCTCCATTCTCGCTGTTCCGGTTGCACCATGGCTGAGCCAAAAGTACGGCAGACGTATGTCGATCTTCGTCGGCTCCGCCATCATGGTCGTTGGTGCTTTGCTGCAAGGATTTGCTCAACACAGTATGTCCACAATTCCGCTAGCTACTTCATGACGATCATGTTGACATATTTCAAGTTGGCATGTACATCATTGCGCGTATGCTACTTGGCTTTGGTATCCTCTTCGCGATCGTCTCTGGTTCTTCCTTGATCGGAGAGCTAGCTTACCCCAAGGAACGACCCTTTATGACCTCACTTTTTAACGCTTCTTACTTCATCGGATCCATCGTTGCCGCGGGTATCTCTATCAAAACAACAGAGATGGTTGGAAACTGGGGCTGGCGTGCACCATCTCTGCTGCAGATTTGCCCGTCCGTCCTGCAGATTTGCACGGTCTTGTATGTCTCGCAATAGAGATTTGGGAAACTGTTACTGACTTAGACAGCCTACTGCCTGAGAGCCCACGTTGGCTTGTCAGCCGTGACCGCGAGGATGAGGCTTTCGCCATCTTAACGAAATACCACGCCGAAGGTGACCCAACCTCCATCCTCGTACAAGCCGAGATGGCACAGATCCGATCTACCATTAAACTCGAGATGGAACACTCCAGTCGCTCGTGGAAAGACATGGTTCGCACGGCTGGTATGCGACGTCGTGTTCTCATTGCGTGCTTCCTCGGTCTCTTTACGCAGATGAGTGGTAACACTTTGCTCTCTTACTACCAAAATCTCCTGTTCAAGTTGATGGGATACACCACCAAATTCGCTAAAACACGCATCAACATCGCCAACCAATGCTGGAGTCTGATGAATGCTGTCGTCATCGCGCTAGTTGTCACTCGATTCCGTCGTCGCTGGATGTTCATGCTTTCCGCTGCCTCTATGACCATGGTTTTTATGGCCATGACTATTTCCTTCCAGCGCCTCCAGCTTGCTGAGTCCCAGGGAACCAAGAACCAAGCCGCGCAAATTGCCTCGCTCGTATTCTTCTTCGCATACTCCCCTTGCTACAACATCGGCAACAACTCCCTTACATACACCTACCTGGTCGAACTCTTCCCGTACGCTCAGCGAACCATGGGTATCGGTATTGAACAGATGTTTGGAAAGCTTGCCGGATTCTTCTCTGTCTACGTCAACCCGATTGCGCTTGACGCTATCGAGTGGAAGTACTTTGCTATCTATTGTGGATGGATTACTTTCGAATTTTTGTTCGTGTATTTCATGTACCCTGAGACGTACAACCGCACACTCGAGGAACTTGCTTTCTGTAAGTACAGATTGAGAACATTATTTTCCGGGCTATTGCTAACTCTGATGCAGTGTTCGAAGACAAGGAGCTTGCAGATGAGGCGGTCAGAGCTGTTGAGAAGACGGTCAACCATGGTCACGTCGAGGGAACGACTACCGAGCACGGCAAGATGGAGACCACTACCATCGAGCGCACATCTTAAACTGAACCTCGCCACCATACTTCATGTAGCACGTGCGCCCAAATTCGCCATTACTTGGCAAATATACAAAGTCTTTGCGGTCCATGATCTACGAGGCACCTGCGTTGTCACATGCGCTCATAAAACTTGGTGAATCGAATGCCTAATGAACTGTCTTTTTACGCCAAAGAATGATACGTGACTAGAATGGGTGGTAGGGTAGTCGCAACAAGCATTCATGCTTGTACCCAAGTTTAAACAGCACACACCCGAGTCCGCGCCGTTACAACAACCCTGGTCAATCTTTCACTGTGGGCCACTAACCGCAATCGCCTTGATGATCTTACCATATGAGTTTTCTGAATGTTCATCTTTGTCGTTGCTGTCAGCGCTTCTTCTTCTGTTGAAGCTTTGTCTACAATTAGATTGTTTAGTTGTTTGCGACGAGATCATAAACGTAGCGCAATTATTTGCGTTATCGCAGCAATCGGAATCTTATTGGTATGAAGATTTCGATTACCTTGATATAAGCTACCCATCCCATGGTTCTTCACACTCCGAAGAAGCAGTCACTTCCTATGTGATGGCAGCGCAGCGCTTCAGCATACTTAAGTAATTTTCGAGACGCGAATCGATTGTATAATCTTATATTATGATCATTATCTTTAACATAGTTCCCCATATATGCACTGTCCAAACCTCACCGCTACCACGATTGAAACATCACTGTAAAACTCAGGCATCCTTCTATGCTCCTCGATCCCTCCTCGATCTCTTCATGGCTGTATACTCTTTCAGTGAGATCTTCTTTACTGGCGGAGAAGATGCAGATATCGCAGTGGTATTGGGCAACACATCAGCCACCTCATATGCCAGAGTAGCTGCTGGAGTAGGTGTGGGTGGCGTGACCGGGCAAGGTGGTATCGAAACGGGTGTTGGGGTTACACTGATCGTCCGCTCACTATCAGTAATCGTTCGCTGGCTATCGCTCCAGGGGGATAGATCCGGCTCGTTCATGGCCAACAGTATACGTGCGGCCTCTTTATCTTCCTTGGAGTACACAACCAGCTTGTTCAGTATTAGCATAGTGGCTGCAGCCTCTCGCTCTTTCTCGGTATGGTTCCCAGGAATGGTGTCGAACGTGCTAGACCGGGTGTCAGTTGTATTGAGGATGGAGTTGAAACTCGAGTGACCCTCGGCAGCAGCAGCAAGTTTCTGTAATGAGCTCATCATTATCGTCTTGCGAGTAATTGGTGGATGGTTCGATTTAATTAGGGCTTGATGATCGGTTGAAAAGTTGAAGGGTGGATCGGGAACTGGTGGAGTTGGAATTGAAAGTTTTCGTGGAGAAAAAGGGGAATAAGTGCAGTGTGGACCGGCTTAGGATCATCTGCACGTAATCACTTTTCTACAAAATATAAAGGAGGGTTCGTGGCGAGATTGATGGACCGATTATCATGGTGAATGGTCACTGAGCCCGCAGCGTGGAGACATAACAGGTAGGCACCAATATAGGAGAGAAAACATGGCTAGATTAAGGCTGATGGTAGACTATAGGTCTTGATTCCTATCTAAAAGAACCTACGTCAAGTGTTTTGTGAGCCAAAGCTTGTTCCAATGGCCATCTTCCGCCATCAATATGTCCACCTCTCCTTGCCTCTGCTTCATCCCTAACTCTATCTGTTCAACCATCTGGTCAGCCGCGTCAGCCTTCGGTTTGTGTCTCAAAACTTTGTAGCTTCTAGCTATCGGGGTCTTCTCTATCAGTTGACATCATTTTTTTTCTTGCGGTTCTGATCATTTCCCGCAAGATTGAAGTGGATAAATGTTCGGATTCTCGAGATAAGGGAACGGAAAGAATGACTAGGACATACCGGTACCATAAAGGTATTCTATAAAAGCACAGTGTCAAGGTCTGAGGCAGTATAGTACATTGCCATGCTATTCAGAAATCTGGCTTTTACCTACATGCATGTCGCAGGTATATACCCATCTCACTGTATTAAGACCAATTATTCTTTGCAGTCTTTGAACTAGGCTTTGGTTACCGCGGTACAATCTCCCAACCTCATAAAGTTCGTACGTCCGATGAATGCTTTTCATAGATGGATTACGCACCTACTGCTACTTCGTCATACTAGCGAGTCACTATATTGTCTATCCACCCAGATTAGGCCAACTCTCACTTGGCTCTCACGACCAGTCCCGCTCGCGCCACGTACTAGGGTCACCTTTCATGGTCCTCTCTTTCTCAATGGCCCTTCCTGGGATCAATGCTGGCCAACCATCTTGTCGCCATTCATGTAATCTCCAAGACGCATGATAACCTAGTGTATCATCGCTGGCCTCTATGCGAGGTTCTGCATATGTTGGATCGATGGGTAAGAGAAGGTTCTTCTGGAACACAAGGTGAGACGGAGCTGCGCTTCTTATCCCCAGTATTGTCTCAATCTTGGCTTCGGCCTCTGTCTCCACGTCGATATGATGTCCTTTTCCGTTTTTGATATTCTCAATAGCCTCGTCATACACAGCAAGGGCAGCTCTTCGGTCTCTCGGAGAGCAAAGATCGCTTCTGGGGTCAATTGGTACCTTCTTGATGAAACGCAGTCGGCTGTCGCTAAGGCGACTTGAGAGGCGCGGCGCACCGCCACCAACATCTGAGGGTGTACTGGCTGGTATGTCTAAAGGGCCACTGTGCAGGAATTCGCTCATAGACAGAACGGTGCGTCTCGTAGGTGCATCCGCTGGTGGAGTGTTGCGTTCACCTGGAACGTAAGTACTTTTGGGCGAGTAAGACATGAATGACGTAACGCGGTAGGTCAACTCCAAAGGACAAGCGGAAGACAGTAGTATGTCGAACCGGACATATAATTTATACAGGAAGATGTAAGAGCGCTAGAGAGATGACTGACAAGACAGCGTGGTCGCTTCCTGGTGAGTGTGACTGCATAACAAACGCGCTATTCCACATTTGGAAACCAAGCAGAACCGCACGCTTCTCAGTTCAGGCTACCGTATCAGTTGCGCTGAAGGTACGTCAACAAAGCAAGGGAAAGGCGATTTAGCCCATTGATGTAAGGCGTCACAGGCCCTCTACCAAGCCATTCCGTTTGAAGGCAACGTTACCAGTTCCTTTTCAGCACCAAACGACCTACTTGCCAGACCTCGGCCAAGCAGTTTTGCGATTTTTCTGCCGAGTTTTGCGTGCCCTCCTTGCATCTATAGTGAAAGTCTCAGTTTCAGCGTGTGTTGCAGAAAGAGACGTAGAGGTTGATGTAGAAGTACTTGTGGTGGGTGCTTCAAATAAAGACTGCTGTACCTACTCAAAATAAGCAAGTTTCATTACCTAGCAGCGATACGACATACTTGAGCCGCAAGCAAGCCTTCGGTACGCTCGTATAACGAAGGCATGGCAATGACATATTCGCGAACCCAACGCAACATCATCGGCCCTGGATAAGTGGGAGGATAGCCCTACAGTATGTAAGTCTCATGGTAGGTTAGCGGATGAGGTGACTGGCTCACCTCAACCCTAAGCGGCTTCCCGCTTGCAAGGGTCTCGATTCGTTCTTTCATAATGACGTTCAATCGGCCGTAGAAACAAGGTGCTATAGTCATAGCGTCCGCGCCTCTTGCTGTGATCTCAAGCAATTCTCGTTGTAACTTCATGATATCTTCGTGTAGACCAAGGAAGAGCAAGAAGAAGTCGTTGCAGTCTTGCTGGGTAGGCTCACCTGCGATACACTATCAGTATGATGGGGAAAAGGATGTATATTAAGGAAGGGCTGCGCACCGTACTCAGCTGCATAGATAGCGTCAATTTCGTGCTGAGACAGGATACTGAATCGACTATCGCGGACGCGGAGTTGCTGTTGAAGCTGAGGGAGCGGATCAGCTGTCTTGATTGCGCTGTTGTGGCGACAACTCGACATGGTGCTTGGTTGGCGCGCGGGAGATCTGGGATACACAAGATAAGTACGCGAGCCGCACGGAAGTTTAGAAGCTTTCAAGGTGAACCTGAGGTTGTATTCAGAATGTTGTGGGGCTGATGGTGTAGCGTACTTTACAAGACAGAGTTCACTCTCACCAAGTTCCCCCAGTAACCACCTATTCGCACCCCTCTCATCTCAAGCGTGTTCAGATATGGTGGTCAGCTTCACACAAGATATCGGAAGAAAGGAGATGAGACAGGTAACGCGACAGCACCTCTCAGGCAGCGTGCCTGCTGGTGACGCTAATCGTAGTTCATCCATCCTGGTGCATGCATCAGAACAGAGCAAAGTGCAGCAATTCGTCTCCTGCTCAACTATCCTTGAGTATACACTGACTTTACGACTCTCTGTTGAATCACCATCGGCGTCTTGTACAATGACTAGTTTCTGTAAAGATTGACCTATCACGAATACCTTCCACGCTGCCTGAGTCTTGGCATGGATAGTATGCAAACGAGCTTGTCAATTTAGAGATTGCGTCCCACGAGTACTTTGTCGATCTTGTGATGAAGAAGAGGCTAAAAAAGTTGCTGCCGCTACCCTCTCGGAAACATACGCTCTTCAAGTTGTTAGCTTACGGTTCAATCTAGCGAAAAGATGGTTTGGAAGTGATAGACATTTGGCTATCCTTCGGTAGACATCTCTGGTAAAGTGTGCACCTTCCAGCAACCACAGCACAGATCGAGGTCAGTGTGCAACTTATCGTACGGCACGCTTTGCATGTAGAAGCGGCAGTCTTTTCGGCTTTGAACATGATGATGTCGTACTGAAACATCGTTACCCATAGCAGGGCGTTCCGAATCCAAGCTTGTTTAGTATCTCTTTCTATTCGCAACAACAGCGCTTTGGATGCGATCGACCGAGCCATGCTGGGTCTGTGATGTGCGCGTCCGCTGCGGGTTTACCGGGTATAAGGGCTGGCCGATCGTTGTCTTCCAACGACCCCTCGGTCCTCTAGTCACAGGAATCACGAAAACCAACAGAATTGACGGCTCGCGGTTTGAAAGACTGGTAGAGAGTGAGGCATTGAAGGTAGTCGTTGCTCGAGCCTAACTGCCAGACGTCACCGTCGGAGATTGCCCGCTTTTCCTCCGATGCATCGCCAAGATGACAGGAACGCCTCATGGGGCGTCTGTCACAATTAGATTTCAAGTCCTGGAGGACTGATATCTTCTGACTATCATGTTTGTTGTATTGAATGGCATGCTGCTCTCGTATTCCCACGACGCGTGTCCCTCAGCGACCAGAAGGCTGCGCCACACCAGGAATGTCTACGCGCGTCTCGGTCGGGTCTAGGCTTGTCGCATCCCCTGAGTGCGGGCTGACGTTCGCAACGCGCTTTTTTTGACATCGGGCCATTGCGATGGGGTGAAACACGTTTTGGACATCTGTACATCTACGACATCGATCTTTGTCTGCTCCTCTAGCTACTAGACTGACAGATGCTACGCAACCGACGCTAGCGACCATGTCGTCTTCTTACCGGAAGCACATGCCGCGTCCGGCACGCCTCCTCTTCAGCGTCCTGCTCATATACGGCTTCTTCTGGATCAAGGGATGGCCTCGCACATACGACGACGAAGAACTCCCTCCGAGCAAGCGGCCGCAGCAAGAATCGAACCTCGGCCCATATCTAGTCGACCATGACCAGCTCGTCGTCGCCGTTACCACGACCGCGAACAACGTGTACAGCAAAGTCGCACCCCTCATCCTCAATACCGACGAGCGAGACCATGGCACGTTCCTGCTCTTCTCAGACCTACAAACGGAGATTGGGAGGTGGCCGGTATTTGACGTCATCTGGCGGTACGGATCCGAATTCATAAAGAAGACGGAGCAGCTGGAGAGATACCGTGCTCAGGTCGACTTCGCGCGGAGGAGCATACCCCTGACCAACTTGAAGAAGCCGGACCCGGAGGAAGAAAGGAGAGACATGGAAATACTGCACAAGTACAAGATCCTGGAGACTATGGCATCCGCGTGGGAGTACCGACCAGACCGCAGCTGGTACGTCTTCGCTGGCGACGAGACATACATCAACAGGCCAAACCTACTCGACTGGCTGAGCCAACACGACCCAGATGCAATGCATTTCTTCGGAAATCCGCCAGCGCCTGCAACGGCGCTTGTCCCCGACCCTTTCGCTGCCGGCGGCACATCCTTTATTCTCTCGCGGCAGGTCATGCTGGAGTTGTTCAAGAACCGCAAAGATTTCATCCAAATGCGGCGGGAGCACATCTCAGAACATTCAACAGCATTCGATCTCGTTTCCAGCGCTCTGCAGGCCGAACTCAAGCTTGAGTTTACTGTTGTTTGGCCAGGTATCTCTGGCTTCGATCCGAGCACCGTGCCATTCTCGCCTGCTATATGGTGCGAGCCCGTCTTGATGATGCACCACATCACCCCAGACCTCGGCATCGATCTGCTCAGACTTGAGAAGGACCGACCTTCCGACCAACCCACCCTACGCTTCGCTGACCTTTGGCACCGCTTCATGACCCCAGAGGACCTGAATTACACGCGTGATGACTGGGACAACCTATCCTCCGAGTCATCGAACGGACGATGGAACATCCTCTTTGAAGGCCAACACCCCGATGCCGACCGAGCTCAGAACGGGGAAGAGTCGCCAGAAGCATGCCAGGCGTCCTGCGAAAACAGCAAATACTGCGTCCAGTGGTCCTACTCGTCGATACTCCAGTATAACTGGAACGACAATCCACCGACCAAGTGCCATCTTAGCAGCAGTATACGCTTCGGAACGCACAAAGGTCCACAGAAGCTGAATATTGACGGGGAAATTAGCACGCTCACTTGGAAGAGTGGGTGGAAAAAGGACAAATTCAAGAAATGGGCGAAGCAGCAACGGTGTAAGGAGCAGCATCAGTAGTTCGAAAGTATTGTCATTTTCAGCGTTTCAGCGATATTCATATTCAAAAAAAAAAAATGTCGACCAAACGTCGGGTTCCAGATTCTTCTTAGGCCACTGTTCTGTGCATCTTGGCCTCATTCTTCTTCTACACGCTATCTCATTAGTCCTTGTTTGATGTCGATTGCTAATTGCGTAGTTACATGTTTCCTAGGCTTCATCGTATGTCCAGCAAGTTTCAAGACAATTGCCTGCAAGCGATTCACTATATAACCCGGTATGACGCTCAAGCACTTGTACAGCCACGCCTGAAGTACAAACCTAACCTGCACCAATGTCAGACCCTGAAGACAGTGGCGACGCACGACCTCGACATGATGTGAAATGAAGCCTTCCACCAGGCAATACGATGGCTGCGAGGAAGTGAAAAGTGTACACTGCATGCAGTTTGCAATTATGAAGTCTTGAGCTCAACGCCTCAAATGTCTGCATCATCATTGTTGCTGCCGTGCCTTCGAACACAACTATATTCACCGCACATGGCACTGATATAAAACTATCCTGGAATTATATCATTCTTTCTACATATCTTCACACAAAGTCAACTCACCATGTCTCAACCGAACTCGAAAGACAATCGCGCCCGGCTTCCCGAAGCCGCCCACGAAGATACCCCTGGCATTGCTGGAGATCAGGCACGCGGCCAGGCTCCCCCTTACGCGTACGATCATGGCATCCTAACAAACTATAACCTTGCAGCGTCATATACAACTGTTTATGGTATGTTGAAAGATCGAGAAAGACGTTAAACAATGCACTGACAATGCATGTGCAGGCGACTCGGCTGACAGGGATTGGCAAGACGTTGCTCTACTGTTCGCCAGTACGCTTCTGAAGGTCAATGCGTTGAATGAGGCGCTCCATCACGCCTTTCAAGCCAGGGATGCACACGCTTTCGCTTTGTGCGATGACTTCGTCCGCAACTTCGATAAGTGCCTTCAGGATCGCATCTTAGCCCTCGCCCGTGGCGAAACACATGACGTTCCGGTATGTATACTTATCAAGTGTATCACCTTGATCGCTACTAATGCAGCCAGGGTCATGAGCGTCTGCCCGGAGCAAGCATGATGCGCTGGGCCTCGAAGAACGCTTCAAAGACTAAAGTGGACTCCTCCACTCAGACCGTAGAAGACGACGGCTCCGTAAGCTGCCATCACTCGTGTTATACCCTGCTATCACTGACCGATTCTAGTCACATTCGATTCCCGAGGTCACAGTAAATATTCCACACCCTGATGATGGGTCTCCTCGCAGGGAGCGTTCCCGTATCGTGCCTGTTGAGAGCACAGGCACTGAAACTGTCCCTTTCAACGATGACCAGTTCAACACCAAGCAGGGGATGTAGATCAGTATGGGCTGCTCTAGCAGGATGAAAACATTGAAAGTAGCCTCACTGATATAGCAGCGAAATCAAACTTTGCTATACCCAAAGATAAAAACACTACGTATTGGCGAAAGGGTTCCTGCGCTGGGTACATTGACCGAACGGAGATCGATGCTGATGTGACCGAGAATGAGCGAGTGCGGAGAAGCCATCGCGGTGGAAGTCAGGTCGTTTCCAGGGCATGTCGTTGACAGCGATAGGCGCGTTAAAAGCGTCGGGGAAGGTCTCTTCCGCTACGTCGATGGTCCAGTCCAAGTTGTGGGCGCCAGATGGCTTTGTTTCCACGCTTTGATCAATTGTATAGGATATGTCGTTGGCCCAAGTTGTGTTCAAACGGGAGGTTGACGATAAAAAAAAGTAAGAAAGCTCAAACAGCTCATTGGAGATGAGTGTGTGTTGCGTTTCAATTGCGATGTCATCGCCACGTTTGGTACAAATGGATCGTGAATGCGCGCCTATAGAAGCATAGTTGATCCAACAGGCAAAAGGAAAAAAGAGCAAAGAAAAGTGAAGCTTAGTGGTGAAGTCACAATTATGGATGACGAGGCGCCTGCATTGACCTGTCGTCTCTCCAACACAGGTACACTGATGCATAGAATCACCAGCCGTCATGCCTTTAATGCAACCATTTTTGGCGCGTGGAGGTTGTCGGGTACGCGTCTACGCCACGGCACGTGTTCTCGCTTGTGCAAGCCGGCCGCTTGGTCCTTCCCTGAAGGATTGACGCTTCTGGGACCTTCAGGGCTGCATCTTTTCAGCCTTGTTATCGATACTACCTCATCGCGGGATTCTGGGTCATCACGCAGACGAGCTCGCGCGAGGTTTAACGTTTCCTTGCATGCCTCATCACAGGCCGTGAGTGTGGGACTGGAGCGTCCAGCGGCGCGCGGCCAGACGCGCCGCGCGATTTGCAACAACAAAGGTCCGTGATCCCTAACAAACTGACCTGACAATGGCCGCACGGGAAATTCGTTTTGAAGGATCATCTTCGCAATCCTCCATCTCCACAAAACCCCGAAAGATGAACCTTCATGCTATTTCAATCCTGATGGCCAAATACGGCGCCGATACCTATCTCAATGCACTGCCATCAGCAGGTTCCATGACCTGGATAGAACCTTCAGTAGGAGAGGAACCTCCAATTCTGGTGATTGGCAGCATAGGCAACCGCAACGTGCTTGCTTATCTGTTGCCACGTGGGGATGGCACTAAGGATGTCCGCTATTGTCTGAAACATATTGGCGATGAGAGTCCGCCCTCGCCATCGGAGCAAATTACTTGTGAAGAAGTCTTGCAAAAGCCTCTTGTCGCACCGTTCAAGCATTTGGTTTGCGGGTCAAAGTTCAAGAGGCGGGTGCTTAGCATGGTGGTCCGGTATTACTTTCTGTCGCGAGGCTACCTAAGCAGCATTGATGCTTGGAATGACGACTTTGGCAAGCGATTCGCGACTATGTTGAGGAAGATGTCCTGGACTTCCAATGGAGGACCGCCCCTCCATAGGACCGTGGAGGAAAGTCCAGAGCCGGAAGATGGAGATAGTGCGTATGGCTTGCTATCAGATAGCGGAAATGGCGAGCCAAACAAATCCAGGAGCACTTTCGTGGAGCAGCAAAGCTCTGCGATGGGAATTCAAGATCGGTGGAACAATGAGGCAAACCCGGATCTACGTCGCCTGCGAGAATTCCTCGATGAACACGACTCGTTGTATCTTCTAGACAACATTCCTGATGCTGAAGATGTCAAGTTTGTGGATCAGACATATATTCTCGAAGCGCAGCCCAAGAAATTATTTATAGGAAGCCATACAAAGTCAGGAGACGACATATATGCGTACATGGTGCTGCTACAGCAGCGTGGCTTCCATGAGATCCGATTCTACGTGGAGAGTGCCCACGGACACAAGACGATAATGTCTGCCGAGATCACAGGCAGGCAGCGTATATTGCATCCTTTCAGTAAGACATACCCTAGGAACACGGGACCCTGCGAACAAGCTGATAGGGCTCGATTTACGCTTATGGTAAAGTGGTACTTTATCGCCGCCGGAATTGCAACGGATTGCGTCTTAGAAGAGACCAAGAGTTATCCTGGGCGTTTTCACGCAGCACTAGGATACATTGCTGATCGAATGGGGTCTGCTGCCGTCAAATCCTCGAAACCCGTTGCGAACAAGGATGCTATACCAGATGATGCTACACCAGATGATGCTAGTGAAAGTTCCTACGTTCCAGAAGAAATCGACGTCCAACCTACACCGCCCCGCGAACCACCACCCAAGGGACTTCGTCTCCCAGGCACTATTACTCGTAAATCGGCTCCCAGCAAGCCACCATCACAACCAACGCTCAGGAAGAGCTCGTTCACAAGGACGTCTACCTCCGAAGAAACTTTTACGCCCAAGACCCCGCCACGCGGCGCTAAGCGCTCAGCCGAAGACGAAACATTCGAAAGCCTCACTAGACTAGTCATGAAACAGCATAATCTTACCAAACACCTGAACGACGTCGACCACGATCTGGAAGTTATGGATGCCCGGTTTGAAGCCTTCAAAGAAAAGTGGAAACGAGAGCGTGCCGAGTTGGAAAAGAAAAGAGACAAGATCCAGGAAGAAAGGAGCGCTGTGAGGAACACGTTCAAAAAGCAGAAGTTACTAGATATCGAGGACTGATGAGCGTTTGGTGGATTTATCCTTTTTGCGAAAAGGTTGGCATATCAGGATAATGAGGACTTTGACTGACATGAACCCAAATTAGCCGGGTGTTTAAACTCAATATTAATACAGAAATCTTTACATGTTACATAGTATCGGGGGCTCACGGTCATTGGGCTTCTCTCACGGACCTTCATGTCTTAACTTGCTGCGTTCGCCGAACAAAGTTCATCAGCCGACAAGTACAGCGGACTATTAGCAGGTGTCGGGACAAAAGTCGAAAGAGAATTTCCCCGCACTACAACAACAAATAAACCTCAACAATACAACCTATTGCTGTACGACTACTTACTAAATATGCCTAGTAAGTATAGGAAAGATAGAAATATATGTATACTTACGTGTGAAACTCCAGAAGGCCGCCCAAGTATTAATTTAACCCCGTACCAACTAGAGCTTTGTGCGTTGCACTATAAGGGCCTAACCTTTAACGAGCTTGCAGCCTACTTGCTTAACTCGTACGGGGTTACTGTTAATCCTCGTACGTTGAAGAGAAGGTTTCAGAACTGGGGTGTAAGCAGAAGGCTGCCAACTTGTGTCGAGGAGAGACTCTAACAGTGGTATCAAGAGAAAATATGTCCGCAAAACTAGATCGTCGAGCTCTAAACCTAGGTCCGACTTTGGTTCTAATGCCAATTCCGACATTGTTGTCTTGACGAAGCCCTGCCCTGTCATGACAGCGCCCTCGATTCAGCCCGATCCCACAACCAAGATATTGCAGAGATTCCTAGAAATCTCGCCTCTGTCCGGAGACTACTCTCTCATCGACGAATACATCAACGTCCTCGATAAGCTAGCCGCTCAAGATGCTGCGAGTGGTGCACGCAAACGGTCGATAGACGAGCTCGCGAACGAAGAAGCCACTATTACGCTCGCTATTGAAGGCCTTCCCGCCGAAGAGAAGCAGCATCTTGCCACCATTGCTCAAGCTTGTGCTAAGGGTATTCAGGCTGACATGGCAACTTTGAGCATAGCTACTGATATGTCTGCCATTCAAGCGGCCATAGAGACACGCAACAAGGAAGCTGAGGTTTCGCGTCAAAGTGTGCTTGGCATGATGACGAAGAGAGCAGAAGAGCTACGTACGCGACGACTGGACGTGCGCCGCAGAAGAGAAGCCGCGTTGGAGGAGTGGAAAGTAAACTCTAACTTTGACACCCTATCGCTACAGGAGACAAAAGAGCGTTTGGAGAAAGAGGGTGGTATGGCCATGGCGGTTGAGCTTGGTAGAAGGATAGAAAGATCAGAAAGCGCTGAGGCAAAGAGGAATTGAAAGGCTTTGGCTAAAGTTCGGCCGTATATGTACAAGGATCCAGTGGAGATGAGGCCGTTCGGTCCTAGAGGCTTCTCAGCCCAAGCAAGGACTATCTATGAGATGACATGCCATGTATCTATCAATCAGCAACATCTAGTCACAACAAGTTATATATCATCCTTGAACACCTTCTTCTTGTGAGAAACTAGCATAACATCATAGTGAGTGGCCAATTAGATAGCATAGTCACGTTCAACAGATACTATGGCAACAAATAGACTTTAATATAGAAATTCCTGAGTATACGAACAGACTAATGATCCCACTGGGCATTCCTTTGAACTGTCATATTCTCTCATAGCCCCCTTATAGAACGCCTTGTAACAGATGCTAATGACTGCAAACAAAGGAAAAGAAAACGCGTCGCTCATCAGAGCACGCATACTACACATGGCTAAGCTAAACCTCTATCTCAGTCTCAGCCTCGGCCATGACCTGCTCTCCCTCATCCAACATATCCAAAACCCTCTTCAAACCACCAACCATGTTATTCGCCTGGCCCACCAACAACAACTTCTCCGCATTCGCCGGCAGACCCAGATAAGTAGGTGGCTCACGCTCAGGAAGGTCGTTGACCCAGCCCATGAATTCCTTCCAGCTGGTCGTGCTGGGTAGTTCAAGGCCGTCGCTATGCTCAGTATCCTTAACAATCTTGAAGTTGTCTTCGAATGCAGCGGGCGTCATGCAAGCGTCGACGAGAGAAGCGAGTATACGCCAGTCTTCTGCGTCGTCGATCTTGCCGCCGTACATCTCAGTGATGAGGATGCGGAGCATCTCCCATGGGATCTTGGTGGGGGCGATGTTGGATCGACCTTGCGCGATAGTGTCGATCCAGGTGTCGATGATGAAACTGCAGCATTCGTAGTCACTGTCATTGAACTCCCAGAAACCCTTCCATCCCAGTGTCGGTGCGTACCGGAGACGCTCTTGAATGACCGCATGGAGGAAGGATAAGAGAAGGTAGACACGCGCCTTCTCCACGGGTTGCTTGTTAGCCTTCTCGGCCAAAGAAGATAGCGAGTCCTTCATGTTGGCGCGAACTCCAGCAGGCTGCTCGTAAGAAAGAACACGAGAGGCGCGAAGAAGGTTGACTGGGATCTTTGGACTGGATTCCATGGACAGGAAGAGGCGGAAGTCAGGGTTGGGCTTGAGGGCTTCGAGACGCTTCTCGAGTGATTGCAACCACTGAGGAGCAAGATGGACGTTCTTGATAAGAACCCAGTTTCCAGTGGTGGCGGCGTTGGCGATAGCTTTGTCGGCTGACGCGGCACCTTCGTTGGAACCCATGGCAATGTTGGAGCAAATGACTTGTTCCCTCTCTACAAGATTGTCGACCTTGTAACTTGCGTCGAATCCAGGGCTGGAGCTGAGCGCCACCGGTGTGACCGCGTTGACTTGCTTGACGATATCGCCCAGATCACCACTTGCATCTAAGATACCCTTGCCAAACACTTCAGTAACGAAACGCTCAACAGCGGGCACGAAGCGGTCCACACGGAATAGCTTGACCAGGACAAGAGCTCGCAGGAGCTTGTCGAATTTGGCCAGATCTTCTGGCCAAGCCTGCGGTACGTGTCGTTCTCCCATCTCTTCGTTGAGGAAAGCATCCCACGCGCTATCTTCGATCTTCTCCAACTCCTCCTTGAACATTGGAATCTTGCTCGCACGCTCCATGGCCTCTTGTTTGCGTTCGGTCTCGGTTGATACGTCAATACCCTTGAGGTCGGGGTCGAGAATTTGGTCGATGTGTGTCTTGTCCATCTTGTAGGGCGCTGCTTGCACGAGAAGCATGGCAAATGTGACACGGTCCTTCTGTAGCAAGGAAAGCGATGTGCGACGGTATGCATCCACGAAGAGCTCGGTAACAATCTGCTCGATACGAGCAGCATGGCCCGTGATAGAACCGTTACGAACCTTGCGTAGCACAGTCTCGAAGATCTGAGTAAAGTATTGGAGCGAGAACTGGTAGAAGTGATTGAGATGATGCAGTTGCTCCAGCACAGCAAAGATAGCTGCGCAAGAACGAGCTACCACAGTGTACTCCTTGGTAATGTTCTCCACCTCGGTCATAACACCAGTGGTCTCGGAAACCTTGTCCGAAATGTCCTTGGCCTCCTTCTTGAGCGTCTCGAGCGTTTCGATGACGCGGTCGTCATCCAGAATGTTGCCGCGCGACTCGTTGAGGGCTTGGAGCAATCGCTTCTCGAGCTGACGAAGATGGACCGCAAACTCTCCTTGCATCTTGATGAGGTTAGATCGGCGCTCGTCGACATCGGGGCGCTCGGATTTGAGGACTTCATTGAGTGTCTGTGTTTGCAAACTGCTCTGCGTGACTGTGAAGTTGACAAATGTGGTACGACTGCAGATATCGGGAGCGAAATTGGCCGAGGGATCGCGTGTCGAGAGGTACAAACGGAAAGACGGCGAAAAGTCAATCTCCTGCTTGCCAAGTTGAATAAGCACACGACCTCCAGTCTTCTGGTACTCCTTGTTGAGGACGTGGTTGAGGATAGGGTCCAGATGTTCGGCATCCTGGATCAAGATCGGGTTACCGAAACGCAAAGAGCTCTCGAGCTGCTTCGTGAATGAGTCATCCAGGAAACTGGTCACTGTGAGACGGCGGTCCTTGCATTCATTCTGCAAGAACTCTGTGGTCCTACCAGAAGGATCGATGATCAGCGGGTAACGGTTGAACCTCTCGAGAATGATGGCGTTCTCCGTACACAGGTCATCCACTGGTAAACCATTGTGTTGCCAGTTCAGGCGGTCATCAGCAGTCGATAGATACTCCGTGAATGGGTTTGTTGGCTTGAAGCTGATTCCAGAGTGCTTGAGATGATCATACCAATCTTCTGTAAGAGCTTTCCTGTACTGCTGATCGTAGTAACCGGCATAGGCGATGAATGCAGCCGCAACTAAGACGTCGCCGACGATAGTATCGATCTGAGAGTCGAATGACTTGCTGCTCTCTTCCCATCGAACGCGTTCGGAGGACAAGCTGTCGAGAAGGCGTACACTGCGATCAACCTTGAATTGAACAGTCGACATCTCCGTCTTGATGGCCTGGGTCTCGCTGATCAGAGCGGCGTATTCGGTCTTGTACCGGCCGATACTCTCCTCGAGGTTCTGGATGAGGAGCTGGGTCTCCTTCGCACCCTCTTCTGTCTTCTGTAGCTCCACCTGAAGCTGATCGACTTCAGCACGTAGGGGTCCGACTCGGTCAAGAATATCTGAGTAAGTAACTTGAGCAGACACCCACTGTACGAGAGGACCACAGGCTTTGGAAGCGCGGTTGACCTTCTCGAAAGTAAAGTCCTCTTGAGAAAGGTATTCCTTCTGCATCTTCCTACGATGGGCTGCCGTCATCTGCCTCTCGTTGTCGAACTGCACGATACTGGCGATGAAGTCGTCACGCCTAACAATGGAAACAATGGTCTTCCAACTGTCGGGCTTATGTCCAAGAATCGTGCAGACAGCTTCCAGCGCAAGCTTGACACCAGCGGGAGGGTTCTGCATAGATCGAACTTCAGTCAGATGTTGTCGCTTGATGTTTTGCACACTCTTCTGTGCCTCCAAGACAGCCGGTTCGGCAGCTGCCAAGTCATGCTCTACCACCTCTTGTCGCTTCTGAATCTCTTCCTTGTCCTTGGCAAGTTGCGCTTGCATCTTGATCGACCCAGCCTTCTTCTGTTCCGCCTCGTTCTGATCCGCAATCATGCGCTGCAGCTTCTCATTTGCTTCAGCATCCTTCTTAGTAAGCTGTGTTTGTTTCTCGGCAAGGCTTGCTCGCAATTCCTTGACCTTGTCGAATGTCTCACGAAGCTTCTCCAGACCGACGTTGAGATGGCGCTGCTGTTCCTCAAGGTCCTCGCGCTTCTCGTTGTAGAGCTTGACATACTGTGCAACAAAGTCCAGGAAGTGACGCGGCGTGAGGTACATCTTCCTGTTTTGTGTCTTCTGCAACTTCGCGTTCTTGCTGCGTAATGAGTGGTGTACTGCGACCATGGCGTTGACCACGCTCTCGCGATGAGATGGTGGGAGGGTAAGTCCACGATAGGCGACTGGAATGCTATCTGGCGCAACGTAGTTTGCGCGGTCGAGATCGACAGACTGTGTAAGCTCGGAGCTGACTTGGTACAGAGCCTGATCAGACCAGTCTCCGAACCAGTTGAGCACGCAACGGTTGAAAAGAGCGGGACTGGTAGCTGCCTTTGATGACAGGCCTTCCTCGGGAGGGTTCATAGTGAACACCACGTGGAGGTTCTTGACAATCTGCTCCGTGAACCACTTGTACAACTCTTCCTGTGAGTCGAGAATGATACCTTGTCGCTGCGCACCCTCTTTGATAGCAGTAAGCAGAGAAGCATACTCATCACCCTCAAACAGACCAGGAACCTCCGCGTTTGCCAAGAGGGTGTTCATGCGTTCGAGGAAACCGGAATCAAGAACGTTAGCTTCGTCCATGATGAAGCAGATCTTTTCTCCCTTGCAACCGCATCGTCGAAGAACAGTACGCAAGTCTTCGTCGAAGTCTTCGCCAGAGTACTTTCCGTGAACCTTGATCTGGTAGACACTCAGACCGTTCATCCAGGCGACGAAGCGCGACAGTGTCGTCTTTCCGGAGCCGCTGACACCGATAAGAATAAGATGACCTTGTGGTTGACGGAAGACACGGTCGATGCGGAGAACATGCTCGAGCACGTCGTTGAACAGAATGAGTGGTACGTCCACCTCTTCCTCGCAGAAGGTTCGGAGACGAGCCTTGACAAACTCTCGGAGTTGCTCGCGCTCAACCGGCACGTAATTCTTGGATAGCCAGTTGGAGAAGAGGATGGGGCCACCGAGAGCTTTCTCCTCGTCGATAGTAGGGAAGTGTTCAGCCGCGATACGGTGGACGCATTCTTCGGTCCATTGTCTCTCTTCTTCTGCGATAAGTCGATCCTGGAATAAGCGTAGTG